TCGAGTGCTTCGGCTGTTTCCTGGTGTGTATTGAGTGACAGATGACACACTCGGGTCAAGCCAGTTCTCCTGGAAAATCACTCATCAGGAAGTGTGAGAGTGTGTCCAACTCCGAAGCACAAACAAGCTTTTATGTTCCACCAACTAAATCAGACAGTTTTTCACTTTAAGATGTGAAATCCTTCCTCATTTCTTGGTATTCCTGCTCATCACTGTTTTTGCTGCTTTCTGAATGAACATTAACACAACTGCTCACATAAAACCCATTAGTTCCAGTTGAGACAAAAGGAGTATGTGGACTGATTGTCCACTCAGTAGCAGGCTGTTTGCTTTCCCTCCTGTTTCTGGAGTTAGAGCGCCTCCAACTGGCTGAACTCAGAACTGTGCCTGACAAGGACCTCAATCAAACCCACACAATGCTGCTGAGACATTCAGTGTGTGCGTGAGTTTGTGTGTGTGAACACAGACACATGTTCATTACTTAGCATCACTTACATGGACACACACTCGCATATGCTCGCCACCCCACAGTAAGCTAAATGTCAACATATTTCACCAAGAGGTCAATAAATAACTGCAGCACTATAGGAGCCGTGTAATTCAGCAGCATCTCACACTGCAGCACTCCCCGCCTCACCGTGTGTGCTCCCTTTTGTTTGACTTAAATTATTTCCATTGTGCCGGGAAGCCGAGATCAATCTTTACGCAGAAAGCGAGAGCATTTCAGCCTATCAATCACTCAGCCAGGCCAACAGTATTTCAGTCTCATTTATTTACAAATCAAACTGATGGTCCTCCATTATACAGCAGCTGTAGCAAACAGGACACCACACAGGATGAGGCCAGTGCTCTGGAGAACACAGCCATTGATTTTTTCTCAGGTGATGCCCATTCTATTTTTGACATTTCATGCTGCTTGGGCTCCAAGCTGGAGATCAGAAAGAAAAAGTGGGTTTTATTTTGGCATTTGCTTTCCTAGTGGGAATGTGTTATTTTATTTTATTTTTTGGAAGGAAAGCTGCTTGCATATAAATGTCAGTTATATCCTCTGCAGAGGAACTGTTGATGTGCAAAACCGATTTTGGATGTTTAATGTTGCTTAAGGTAAAAAAAAAAAGAAAAAAAAGAAAAAAAAGTTTCCTGGTAGAAAATGATTGAGATAAACACAAATTTTCTTCCATCAACAGGCAAACTGGCTTGGAAGATTTGATTTTGATTGGTTCTCCCTCATCTAATTCTGCCCAGATTTCAGGAAAAGAAAACATTTTTCGGAATCAGTTTTGTGATAGTAATTTTTTTTTTTTTTTGTGAGAAGTTACATTCAAAGGCTATAAAATAGGCCACCAATTGCAGGGGAGTTGAGGATGACATTTGCTGTTCCTCTGTAATTTAACTGACTATTCTAGACAGAATATTAATCATGGGAAAATTGCAGGATGTGCTGCGTGACAGACAAGAATACTGAAGCAGAAAGACATAGTTAGTGCAGCAGGAGCAGAAGAGCAGAAAGGAAGCTTGGAGGGAAGAACTTCAGACAAAGACAGTAACATGTGTGCTACATGCAAGTCTAAAACTAAACTCCTTCAGAGAGGCAGAACCTAGATGTTGATTATACAAGAGTTGAAGTCATACTGGTACAATTCAGTCAACACATTTACGTTGTGATCAACCCCAACATTGTCTGTCCATATGAAAACAAAATGCTGATTTGCTATTTTAATAACTACAGTTACATTTAAAATTGTTCAAGCTCACATGCAAATTAGGTTTACAGACAAAATTCCAGATTGTTCCAGTTTTTGCAATTAACAAATTACAAAACACAGTTTAAATACATGAATATAACAGAAAAAAGATTTTACCTAGGTTCATAGTGTATTTTCAATAACGATTGCAGTCTCAAAATTATCCAACCTATTGAGAGAATAAAGATAAGTTAAAATTAGCTAAGATAAGATAAGATAAGATAAGATAAGATAAGATAAGATAAGATAAGATAACTGTACTAAAAAAGCACATCTGAAATAAAGGACAATACAAATGCTCCAAAAGAGTAAATCACATCCTATCACAACTTAATTGATAATGAAATATATGTAATATAAAACAATTAAACAATTAAAATTCAATAAAAATGAGCATAGAAATATAAGATATAAAGTTAAAATGAAAGTAAACATTTCCACCAAAATAACCAAATAGTAACCAGAAATATTCATAAAACCCAGGCACCCAGCAGAGGTTTTATTAGTGGTTTCAGGTCCAGCATGTTTGACAGATAGAACATCTCCAATACCTGGTCTGCTGATGATGTTGTTTCATTGCCAAGTCAAGAGACTTGACCAAAAAGTTCAGAGAAGAGTTCAAAAGTTTAGATACCTAGTGACTGAAAGAGGAAACTATCAACAGCTGCTAGCAGTTTCCTCATGAAAATAATAATACCACTAAATAAAAATCTGCAGCTGGATTTGATGGCAGCAGCCTCTCGGGTTTCAGTTTCCACAGAGAAGGACACAATAAAAGCTACAGAGCTACATGCCTGAACTCCAAGGCAAAATTTTCAACTAGTTCTATTGGACCAGAAAAGCCACGTCCAATTTATCCATAACTTGATAAATAAATCAAAGATGTTTTGGAATTCTGCTTAGTGACGCACTGAAACAGAACTGGACCTGTTTGGGTCTGTGGATCAGTGTGATATGTCTAAATGAAGCATTTACTGAAAATACAGTGGAGCACGTTGGGGTCTCTGATCCTCTGGTACTGCTTTGCTTCTTCTGGAACAGGAAACTTGCAGCATGTACAGGGGGAGATGGATTCAGAAAACCCTGGGAGGGAAGGCCTGATGGCCACCATCACACCTTTATCCAGAAAAGGATTCCTTTTACTCTTTATTGATTTACTTTCTCTAAGTTGGTTGTTTGGTTAAGGCTACATTCTAATAAATAGAAGTCATCACTGGGTAATAACCCATCATCTTACACATCCACTCATTATTATCAGTTCTTATTTCTACGCTAATAAGTTAATTTCATTGTTTTGCTGCAGAAGGTGGTTAAGTTTACATGTACTGTTGCAGAATCATTACATTTTTATTTTTTTTATCATTTCAGTGATTCAGAACAAGTTGTCTGTCTGTCTAAGAAATACATATAATCCATCCAAAGACTCCCTAAATAGTTGTTCCATAGCTTCTTACAAAAAGGACTACTACACTCAGTGTCTTCTAATATGAGCTGATGCCTCATGTTCAAAGAAGAACTATATTTCATTTTGAGCTGTTAATAATAAGAGGATGAAACATGGACAGCCTTTCCAGCTAAACAAACTGTTTTCTAGCAGTTTAATGATGTTGCTGCGGACAGGATTTAAATTGCAGGAGCAACAGGTGTCTGCATGAAAGAAGGACAGACTCCACAGAGGTACCACAGATTGGGTGTCTGCTCTTTATTCTGGCACATTTGTTAAAAGGATGCGAGGGCCATTAGAGTCTGCAGGAGTTTTAAGAAAACACTTTTCTATGTTTCACCAAAGAAAAGGTTTAGTTTTTAATTTATTGCTCCCGGTTTCTATTTGACCGTCTTCCCCTGAAAGGCAGGGGTTTCTCTAAACACTGTCCTTTGAACCTTCTTCTTCTCTTGGTTGAAGTTATTCCATGAATGTAAAATAATTTGACCCAGATCACAGAGAGTGCAACATAACAACAGAAATCAGCTGTCTGATGAGAAAAGACAAAACTTGTGCTTTCAATTGTTTGTTCTTGGTATGACTCAGAAAACAGTTGACTTCCTTCTATTAGCTGTCGTTGTGAAAGTATTCTGACTGATAAAAACGATTATTCTCCAACAAACAGTATTTCTTAGCTCAAGAATGTATTAATCTCTCTATGGAGTAATATTCAGTACCTATAAAAAGTATTCACCCCCTCGAGGGTTTAAGCCCCTAATTTCTTTAACAAATCGATCAGCTTTTTGAAAAAAAAAAAAAAAAAATCCATGTCAAAGTGAAAACAAAATATTTAGAATTAAATAAAAATATTTAACCTAGAATAAGTGATTGCATTAATACTCACCCCTTTCCAGTCAGTAATTAGTAGATGAACCCCAGGCAGAAATCTCAGCTGTGTTTTCATTACAAATGTTTGCAAATCTTTGTCAACATTCCACTGATGCCGAAAATACACAATTTCACAATTGCAGTGTTTCCATTAAATAAAAACATGTGAAAATGTTGCTTCATCTGTTGATATAAAGTTTTTGATTAAAATGTGATCAATTACAAGCAATTAATCACAGACCCTGCAATTAACTTGATTAAAAAAACTTAATCAACTCCTTCCCACTTGTTAAAATGTATATTAAATATTAATATATGTCCACATACTTTAGAAAAACACACTTACTGTTGTGGGATGTCCTACTTTATTCTCAAGACCGTTTGCTGCCAAAAAATGAAACGGAGTTAACAGCCAGCAGCTACTGTAATTTAGCTGTGCTACATTATTACACATCATACTTAAGTGCCTCCTAAAGCTGTGTGTAGTTAATCTAAAGATAGTTCAACCTGCCAAGTAATAGATGTCTGCTGGATATTCAGCCGGGTCTAATGAAGACTGCTGCTGCCCTGGCTTATTGATGCTAATGTGAATGGAAGCGTGATGGGAGTGGCTCTAAAAGCATGGAGGTGTCATGACCCTTATTAAAACTTGTAGCAGAGTGCTTGTGACACGGCTCCACGGGCTCCACTGATCCGACCCGTGCTCCCGGACTGAGGGATGGACAGACAATTGATCCAGAGAAATTTCATCATCTAAGTTTCCGTCGCGCCTCCCTTCCTCATCTCTCGCTCTCTATTTTTCTCACTCTCTGACACGCCAGTCATTCATCTCTTTTAAGTCAATAACAACAAATCCTTAGTATCCAGCTGAGCAGACACACTAATCAAAACACACATGGTTCTAGGGAATAGATTGCTTTTTAATAGGACCATTAAATACCTAGCATTTTTTAATAATGGCTCCAAGGTCTCCAAGAAGAATTACATTTCAATACTAATTACAAGGAAATGGAAACAAAGTCAGGAGGTTAATGTCTTATCTGGTTTAAATCCAATTACTGCAATCATCAGGGATATCAATGATCTTTTGAAAGCAAAAAGTGGCTTGATTTAAAAGTTAAGAATAAAATGTTTTTTGTATTATGACTTTTAAAAGAAATAATGTTTTGTGTATGTTGTCTCTTTGTGTGCCTAACTGTCATCATGTAGAGCACCGCCTTGTTTTATTGCCTCTTGATATGTAGCCAAAGTTAGAGATCAAGCAATTATGGTATCACATTTTCATCAGCTCTATTTTCAAACTGGGTGATATGTGAGCAATATGCCGACATCATTCACACCAGTCAAGGTAGGGTGTCCTAAATACCGTACGCTCTGTTGGGAAATACTCCAGTGGGAAATGCTCTCCTGGGAAAACTTGCATGCTTGTGTTTCTAAGGTCCCCTGCAGGTATTCCCAAGACAGATGTAGGTCCTCAGATGTAGGTCCTGTAGAAACTGCCTGAGGGTGGTGTGATGAACATGACAGACTCCAGGTGTTCCCCATACCTCCAAACTCACACATGATCACTCTGACGGTCTTAAGTGGGAGCAAATCTAATCCATCTTCCCACCAGCAGGACTCTAAATAAAAAGTACTATTCAAATACCAGGCTTGCCAGAAACCCTGGAATATTATAGATTGATGCTGCATTTGTAGCAAACATTATACAATTCGACTCTAGTTTACTCTTTTTTGGTGGTTTTCCATTACAACTGAGGAACTTTTCCAGTGTGTGGGGTCTTCATATCCAGGGCGACCTCAAAAGTTTAACATTCTTCACAGTCTGTGGCTTTCTGTTGACAGTATTCTGTTTTCAGCTGTATACTTGGAAGCCCATTGAAATAGATTCTAAAAAAGGGTCTGACACCATCTGACCGCTAACCCCGGAAAAGTTAGCGGTGTCAATAGAGCAAAAAAGCCATAAAAACCCAGCTAGCTGTCTTGGTTTGCTTTCCAGCTAATTTTTTAAGACATTGACTTCAACATCTTCTGTTTTCTGATTGTTGCAAAAATGTAGCACATTAGAATAATGATGCCAAACCAGAGTCCTTCAAAAGGCATAGACAATATTCTGCGCTTCTGAGAAATGCTTTTATAGCATCAGGCTAATACAGATGTCTTAGCTACAGGCAGAGCTACAACTGTCATCAGAGAAAAGCTGAACCCCTTACTGGTTTCACTGATCATTTTTGGAAATCTCCACAAACATGGCTGACATGAATTCCTCCTTCACCCAACAAGCTTTTGTTAATCTTGATACTCCTGTGAATTGTTCACACATGGTGATGTGTTTCACCAGCCGCTTCTGGACCAGACCAAAGGAGTGTGGAGTCATGTTCTGCTCATCTCATCCTGTGAAACGTTCCTGGTGGAGGGCATCAGCTCACACAATGCTGCCAACAGCTAATCCCTCTCCCTTCCCTGCTACTCACTTGTTACTTTTCATGAACATAGAAAGTTCTCCTGCATCAGTTCATCTCTTTCTCCTCTGTCTTCTCTAACCTCCAGTCATCTGTGGAAGATGACCGCTTGCACTGAGCCAGGTTCTGGTTCTGCTGGAGGTTTCTTCCTGTTTAATGGGAGTTTTTCCTCTCCACTGTCGCTACATGTATGCTCAGTATGAGGGATTGCTGTGAAGTCAATGACAACACTGAGCATAATGTACTGTTTGGTAATAATCTGTTGGAATGTGTGCGACTGAACTGAAAGGACTTTGTCGTAAAGTGCCTCGAGATGATATTTGTTTTAAATTGGTGCTGTTAACATTGAACTGAAATAGATGAAAGCTGCCTGCTATCCAGTGAACCTCCCCAAGCAATGAAACAGCAGCTAATAAACAGGTTCATTATTTTGGACAAAGTCTGTCTCCTCTTCTCTCCTCCAACCATATGAAGCTGGGTGGCCTGGCAGAACAAAGAGCCTGGTTCTTCTGTTCCTTTAATTGCCAACAGGTGCTGCTGATATTTGGAAGAAATATTTTAAATGCTCCAGAACAGTTTTAATTATCTCTTATTCAGATGAATGATGAATGTGATAAATGAATCAGCAATCATTTCTTGCATTTTCGGTTCGTCAGCCAATCAGCGGTCAAAGGGTAGGAGCTAAGGTAGATAGTGACTGCAGATTGCTAGTCACATTTCAGAAAAGCACAAATTTAGATTACATTAACAAATCAGTTTAAAAAATGTGAAACATCCTGAAGTACAAATCTATTTAAATTACAATGAAAAGACTGAAACGATCAGTTTTGATAATTTCTGTAACCTGACAGTAAAACACTGAGTCCTGACTTTCCACTGACTTCCACAACGGTGAGAATCTTTCTGAGAGCCAACATCCAGGGTCACTTTGCATCAACAGGGCCAAAGTGGAAATACAGTGCAATACATTTGCAAGTAAAATGTCTCATTTTCAACTCATTCTCCTGCTGCCTGAAATTCATTGAAACTGAATTGTAGCCTGGTCTGTAATATGCCCCAGCACACAAAACTCACACACACTGTGCAGAACACACACACACACTGGGTCTAATTTTGTTGAGAGCATGAGTGACAGACTCCATCATCAGCCTGATGGGACCCTGACAGCATGTCACACACAGCTAAAATGACCCACCGTGGGAAAATGATAATATGCTAATAACAGCATTCCAAAATAAGTAACAATTTAAAAGACAAAATAGGAGCAAAAGCACAAGACAACAGCCAGAGCCGCCCTCTGCTCAGCCATGTTGCACTTCAAGATTTTATAGGAATGAAACTTGAAATCCACTTTCTGTGGCTGAGTTGAGGTTATGTTTTACATAGTATTTAGCTCTTCTTTTCACCATGTTGTAATGCTGTAATGAGAGTATGAGATGCAATTGATTAGTCAGATGGTAGGTCAGGGTTGTGACTGTCACCCAACACTCCCCGCTTCCAGACTCATGTTTCTGCATTATAAATCAGAGTGTCCTGCCATAACTAAAACAAAAAATACATCTAACAAAACTAGTTTGGTTCCTTTTTTCATCTAATTCTATTAAGGGCAATAAGTCTTATTCATCTGCTTCATTTTAGGTCATATCTTTATTGAAAATTAGTTTTTCAAGCTGTAACCTACTTTTCAAGAAGCTATTTTGGAGGATGAAGAGAGACTTTCTTCCACATGTTAACACAATGTCATTATGCTGAATGGGAATTGAGGTCCTGAGTTTCATTCCATTTTTAAAAGGATTTGCTCTATTAAAAAAAGATGCTAAATAATAAAGACATGACAGCAAAGCCTACCCGTGTGATCCACGGAAAGAGGAAGATGTTGATTCCCAGGTTCAGGTGGTATCAGACGTCCAGAGGACAGAGGAGGAGAAGGTGATGCAACATTGTTTCATTTCTACTCTTTTGGGGAACATTTCGACAAGATTAAATTGTTTAACCCGCAGTCTGAGATGCTCAGTAGGAGCGGCAGATGTCTGCCATCCGGCGACCCGCCAGAACCGCACACGGTAAAAAGCTCAGCCGGGATCCAAACGACCGTTGTTAGAACTACAAGTGGGATCAAACTCCGCTCATTCAGTTTTAGCTTACAGAAAAAGCGCCAAGCCGCCAAATAAACAAAAGTAAACTGTCCAGTAACATTTAGACTTTGACGTGGGTACAGCCGTACTGCAGCCGCTGCTGCCCCCTGATAATATCCTGCAGGCGTCTGCGCATAATTGTGAACTTTAACCTCAGAAAGGAGTTGTATACATACAGCAAATTATTTTTAAACGTTTTTATAATTCACAAAAAAAAATCTAAAAATAAACAAATATTATTTCAAGGTAAAAACATGTAATTTATTTTTTTTTTTTTTTTTTTTTGCAGTGCTCCCTTATTATATATTATATGACAATGACCATTATTAGAACTTACTCTGGGCGCGACTGCGTTGGTGACCCCGGGTGTATATAAAGTTACATACAATTATACCCAGTAGATTGTAATAGGTTGCCCCAGTCTTGGTTGACTGATGGTTGTTAAAAACATTACCAGACCAAATGATTTTAGTGACATAGTGGGTGTATAAAATATTGAATAAAATGTTGTGCTACATGACTGGCTTTATTTTTACTCTTACATTTAAGTTTATGACATACAAAGTTATAAGTGGATAGTCCATATTGTCTCCAAGTGTATTCTGGGTAAAGCTTGTCACCAGCCGTCCACCAACGTCATCATCAGTCACTTGGCAACAGATGGCAAACTAGAGCATTTTTACGGACTAAGTTAACATGAGTGGAGCTCCATGGAGCGGCAAAGTGAAAAGGATGGAAAAAAGAGAGCAAGGAAAAGTAAAAAAAATGAACGCATATTTTGTTTCTTGTCTTGGAGATGAACCGGACTTTTTTGTTGGCAGTGATTCAGACCCGCCAAAACTCCCAGCCCAGCGAAGGAGCCGGACTAGTTAGAGGTAGCAACTCTGACATTATTCACAAAGTGAGAGTTAACTGTAGACTGATACTAAACTTTATCAGCCCAGCCGCCGAGCTTGCATCCCTTTTCTCTCTGTCGGTGGTACAGCGGTGATGTCAGGGACTGAAGGCTGAGTTATAGTCGCGCTTTTAACAGTTGGGGTTGAGCGCGTTTTTGAGCAAACACAGCAGTATGGCGTCCATAGTTAAGGTTCACATTGGAGGATCTTCCAGATCGTCCAGGTTGTGTGAACGGCGGCTCGCGCGATCTGCGCCGAGTTACAAACGTGCACGAGGTGCTGCGCATGCGGCACGTGCCTCTGCGTACCAGCATCAATGCGCGCTGCTGCATGCTCGTTTTAACGCATCAACAATAAACCTAGCTCCAGCAGTTGCGAGCTGCTCCAGGCTCTGAGTTGAAATTGATAAAGTGTCAAAATGATCCGAATCCATCCGTGGTTCTGAACTGATTTCAGAACCACGT